CAGAGAGAGGTGGGAGGAAAAGAGAAAGAGTATATCTATTGATGCATCGTATTTATACACAAAAACAAAGAATGATTTATATGTTATTAATGTTATATATGATATGTAAACTTTTATACATGTATAATGTTTATATAACAATTGTATATATATGTGTACATTAATATACATCAAATTTATTGTTAGTATATATAGATTCAAAATAATAAAACGTATTAATAATAGCCAACATGAAAACTTAAAAACAATATCTCATTATACATATATATATATTTATAGTATATATACCTATTAGTGCCAAGATAGTGCCGTATCTCTTGATTATTACTACAAAAGATATAAGAATATATACGATATTATTATAAAAAAGGAAATAAAGAACATACATTTAGTGACATCTATGGTAAATCTCAAAGTTATCAACAACTGATATTTTAAATAGATGTGACTCTAGTTGCTTTTTTCACTCATAGATGTCGACAATTATTAAACCACCTTGCGCATGTTATTGTTTGGTTTACACACGTTTGGAATTTTAGATTGTTTTGGACTTGAACGATTACAAATTGTATCGATAAAATATGCTCATGTTAATGTATATAATATTTTTGACAAGTTTCGTCGGTCGTCTGTGCGAAGAACAATTTTGTTCAGCAGATAACAAGATAAAATCCTGTAAAGAAAATGAGGTTCATCACCAAAAATCATTATATACAAAAGGTATCGTTTTCACAATCTTAGATTCAAAAATTAATTGTAATAATTCTGGAATATATGATACGATATGGATATTGTATGTACATATTATAAAATTCTCAATCATATACCATCTTCTCTATTTCTAGAAATAAATGAAAGATATAAGAAATATCTAGAAGCGATTAAAAATGCAGAGCAAAACTACAAAGAATGTAATAACACAAAACACGAGTGTTATAAAGATGCAATCGTACGAGACCTAAGGCCTTTTAAAAAGAAAGGCATAAGCAAAGAAATGATTGAAGCTGCTAAAACTAGGTATCTGTGACATCACAAATATCAGTGATTTAGACTTGGTTTCATTAATGTGAGATTAATTTTAATCTTGATTTAATTTATTCTTTTTTTATTCTAAAATTTAGAAAAAAATAAATAGTAAGTTAAACAGAGATTGAAATTAATTTCTTGTTTTAGCTAAATATTGTACTTATATCTATATTTTACAATACTTTAAATTCCAAAAGTGTTCAGCTATAGAAAACAGATCCGATATTATTTTTTTGTACTTTTCAATTAAATATTTTAAACTTTATGGTAATTTTGCACGCAGGGGTACATTTTACCAAATAATCAAAGGTAAATTATACAGAGAGAAAGACTGCATGTTTCCAGCTAGATGCGCTGGAATTGAACATTTCTTATTGAAGATAATTGGTAATTTATCCGATATGGATTTAGTTATAAACACTAGGGATTATCCTCAATCTAGTGAATATTTTGGAAATGCCATACCTGTTTTTTCATTTAGTAAGGTGAGCGATGATTATTTAAAGGTTTATAACAAGATACAACTTAGAGTATATTTATACAATTATGTTTTGTTTGTTGAATTTAATAAGAACTGTGCAGCTTGCAAAATGTATTTATAGACACCGCAATATTATGATATTATGTATCCAGCATGGGCATTTTGGGAAGGTGGTCCAGCTATTTTGTTATATCCCCGTGGTCTTGGCAGATGGGATCAACACCGTAAAACTTTGAATAAGGCGAGTTTGGAAATTTCATGGGAGAAGAAAGAAAGTAAAGGATTCTTCCGTGGGTCTAGAACAAGTTCAGAACGTGATAATTTGATTTTATTAAGTCGTAATAAACCTCACTTAGTAGATGCTCAATATACTAAAAATCAAGCATGGAAATCTAATGAGGTATTGTCACATTATTTTTTATAATATTAGCGGATTCTATATGTATAATAAAATATAAATAAAATATATGAGACAAAATTGAATTTTATTTTAGGACACTTTGCACGCAACACCAGCATCAGAAGCATCTTTAGAGTCACATTGTACATATAAATATTTATTCAATTTTCGAGGTGTGGCAGCTTCATTTCGACATAAACATCTGTTTTTGTGCCGTTCACTAGTCTTTCATGTTGGCGACGAGTGGATAGAATTTTATTATTATGCCATGAAACCATGGATTCATTACATACCTGTTTCTAAAGATGTAGATCAAAAAGAGTTAGAGTAAGATATCACATTTAATCTTGCTGTAGTGCTATATATATAATAAACATTAATATATATATATATATATTAATGTTTATCCCTTTATTAAATTACCCCTCTTTGTTTTAGTCTATTTTATTCCATTACTTTTTCAGGGATTTGATTGAATTTGCAAGGAACAATGATGATTTAGCAAAAAAGATTGCTTATCGCGGAAGAGACTTTATATGGAATAATTTACGAATGTCAGACGTTATAAATTTTTGGAAGCAACTTCTTAAAAGTTACAGTAAGCTTCTACAATATAAACCAGTATTAAAGGAAGATCTCATAAATATTAGAATGGAATTATGATGATTTTGTACAAATATTAAGAATGAATCTCGATATTTTTCTGGATAATATATAAAAATAAGAGAGAGAGAGAGAGACCAGTGTGTGCAGATGCGCGTGAGTGTGTTTGTGGAAGCAAAATGCTTATATAGCTAATAAATACAATTGAAAATATAGAATGGTTAAAATAAACATATGTATTTATTAATATTACTTGTATGACGATGAAAAATATAATACAATAGAGATTTGTTTAAGGCACGACAAAAGAGCGTGGCAAGTTTCAATATGAATTATTAATATCCTAATATCATTAGTAATACAAAGAAAGGCGTTGCGCAATTAAATTTATGTATTAGACGAGCTGCCTTAAACAATAATCAATAATTTATAATGAATTTAAAATAAGATCATGTAATAAAAAAAAAATTATTTTATATTGTACAGAAATTCTCTTATTCAACAAATATTGATGAAAAGTACAAAGCCTTTCTTCTTTTACTCTGATAATACTTAAAGGCTAAGTATAATCTTTAACAATTAAGTACTGGTCAAACATTCGTATGAGACTAAAATACTTTTTGAAATGTAAGAAAATATAGGATACATACACAAGTATTGTTTTATAATAACATCTGTTAATACTGAACGAAGATAGTTTTTTATGAATATATAATTTTCCTTGCAGTATTTCTCTTTTCTATCAAAAAACGGTTGTTATGTTTTACTAAATGCGTGTTAACGTGCATTTTTATTTTACATAATAAAAATCTAGAAAAGAAAAAGGCTCTTTATATAAATAAGAATTGTGTATAGATAACATAAATTCTCACACATACAGCACCATTAATGTCAGATCAGTCTGACAAAAAATTTGCGAATAGTTATATATAACTATACACTTTCGACATATGTATATGCATATACATATGAACGCACACACAGACATACATGTATGTGTGTGTACATATATATATATATATACATATATATGTATACATGTACACACATGATTGTATATAAAACTATAAGATAAACAAGCTATCATTGGGAGAAATTGTGAGGAAAGCATTTATATAAAAACAAGGATTCTCTTCAAACATACGCAACGCCACATAATGGAAGCGAAATCCAACACATGGTTTGAAATGACGTATAGAAAAAGTTGCGCTTGAACATATCTGGCATTTACAATTCTTTTCAGAGAGTTGTATAAATTACAAAAATACTTTCTAAGGCACTTGCACCGTAAGACACTTTAGAATAGTCGCAACGCAGCAACGATGACACTAGTAGTAAGTATAGATATTTACATATACATATAAAAACGTATTGCGCATGCAAATGAGATTAGATATTTAATGAAAATAACATATAGGCTGTAATTGCTTACTGTTACATAAAATATTTTAGGATTTACATTGTGTATAAGTAGAAGAGTCTATAGTATTCACATAACACTTTTAATTGATCAACAAATACTTTTTGCAATATTGTCAATATAAAGAATCCGATTATTGCTTGTCATGTCGCAATGTCCGAATATCCTTTTATATATCTCGCGATCTAATCAAACGATTGGATCTCGAGGAATTTATAAGTGCCTTTGATGTTTAAAGTCTTTGCGAATAATGGACACGCGAATAAATAGGCAGTGTAGAACATTCCATGTTACGTTACTGCGTGTGAAACATTATTGAAAGATATATATTATATAAATGTTTATATATTTATAGAAAATATATATCTTTGAATAATGCAAATTCAAATACGTGCTATACAGCTGCGCCACGCATACGTTTGCGCAACGACGCAGCTCGACAGTTTCATTGCGGCGGAAATATATTTCTCGTCGTAATTTTCTAACTATCTACTTATTAATTACCGAAAGCATATAGGTTTCTAATCGCTTCGCACCAACAACGATTTCGATTGGCATTCACTTTTTTTCGAAAATGGAAAGGAAAGAAAAATTCTACCGACACGTTTTCATCACATTTCGCGGCCGTGCATCGATTCGAGTTTCAATTGTCACTGCATCGCTTCTCTAAGTCGACGCTGCCTTTACGTAGCCACGATGAACCTCGCGACGATCACTGTCATAATGCTGAGCAAGAATTGCCGTGTGCTTTCCAACGAATACAACGAAGAGGACGCCCCAGAGTTGTTTTCGCGATGGTGATTCGATGATGTGACGAGCTCGTCGGTTCCTCCTGTCGAATTCAAATTTGAATCGTAGTGGCGGGATAATCTCGAATAACACACGCCATGCAGAACGGCGCGTGTGCACATTCGAGAGCGCGAAACAGTACAGGTCAAACAGGCGCGAGGATGTCGGCCGTTAACTCTCGCTCTCTCTTGCCGCCGTTGCCGGTTCACTGTTGTTTGGAACTTTATTTGGTTTTTCCGCGTGTAAATAATCGGGATATTTGGCACGTGTACCGCTCGTGGGTCGCGCCGCTTTGACCGCTCACTTTTTCCCGAATTCGGGATGTACATTGTTGTCGTCTGGAAAAGGTGATTGCTCCCGGTTAATGCGGGTGGTAGATCGTCTCCTTCTCACGGGGGGTTTTTTTTTTTTTTTTACAAGAAGACATCGCTGTGTTTTGTCTGTTCACAGCTCAGTATTTAGTGCTATTCTCAGGTAACTACAATTTTGTGAATTTAATTTTTACTCCAACACGCTTGAATTTCTTATATTGGTAGAAAAAGGTTACATGTGTATCAAAATCGAATAATCATATTCAATATGGCTGCCTAATTTGTAACTACTGTCGTAACGTTATTAAGACGAATAACTAAAACTATGATCGTGAAATTAAATTAAAATTGTAGGCTGTGAATGTGATTTGACAATGTCATTATCGAAGGCAAACCATTTTTTGTTGAAAGCACCAAATACATGAGAATGTCAATGAAATAAAATAATATTAAATAACTAAGTATGTGTTAAAGATCCCCATGCTAGAAGTAATAAAAGTTTCAAATATGTTTATTCCCATTTCAACTTATTATTACACCGTGTGCACTAGTTCAGACAATGCAGAAACAAAAGATAGACCCATTGATTAAATTAAATCTTACAAATTTAAACTTTCTCTGTATTCTGTTTCGTAACCTTTTTTTATTCTTTTAAGATTTCACTTTAAAAAATGTAGAAAGTAAAAAATTATATATTTATTTTTTATTACAATTTCTAACAATAAGTATTTATTTTTTTAAATGAATTATATATATGTGTGTGTGTGTGTGTGTATAAACAAAATGAATTTATATATAAAAAAATGAAATTAAATGTTTTTATACATCCATTGATTTCATGTTTCTATGCATAAAAACAGCATTAAGGTACAATTATTAAAAAATTAATAGTTTACGTAATTAAAAATAAATCGATAATTATTGATTTTTTGACATCTCAACTTTTACATGTAGAATTATTGATGGAATTGTATTTAAACAAAATGGCGAAAAACCTTCATATATAATCTTAAAAAAATTAATTTTTCTCTAATATTGATTTTTTCATTATTTGATATTTTCTCTCTCAAGCCATTACTTTTGTCGAAAACATTTTCCGTATCTTCTATATTCCTCGAAATATTTATTCACCGCAATTAAAATGGGATATTTTGTCTAATATACAAAATAAATGAATATAGGATAAAACCGAAAACATATTATAAAGTACAAATTTCATAAAGAAAGATATTTGTTAAAGAGACATTTTATAATTCTTTTCATAGATTCTCATCGATTCTAACGTGGAATAGAATTCTACATGTAATTCAAACTCTTAAAAAATTTTTAAAGTGAATCTCACACTTAAAGATTAAAAATTGAACCAAAATTGTTCTTTTTTAAAATCGCCTCAATTTTCTCTCTTAAGATGAATTTTACTCCAAAGAATTTAGAGAGAAAATGCGAGTGAAATAAAAATGTAGGGAAAACTGATCACGGAGAAAGAATACAGAGAGGAAACTTGTAAAGTATCAAAAGTCAAGAGTGCATTTTCTCATAAAACCCCATCAGTAAATTAAAGAAAGAGGAAAGGATTGTGCAATTCAGGACTAATGCGTGTCATGATTGCAGAACACATGAAAATATTAATTTTCGACGGATACGATGGACATCTGAGATTAAATACTTGTGCAACGAGGCGTGCATGTAATATACTATGTTTGTGAATACAAATATTTTTTAATATGAAAATAAAAACAGAAGAAAAGAACAAATGAATCGGAAGGAGCAAGGATTTCCTGTAAGAGTCGATCTATTGTTAGAAGGATATGTATTGTTATACAAGTCGAAAACACGCTTTTATGCTAGATTAAGTTCCAAACAACGTAACTGCCAACGGCAGTGATTCATGCACCTCCCTATTTCACGCTCGTGTCAGGTGCACGCGTGTGCTCTCATGTGCATGTATTTTAGAATAAGTGGATGCGTGTTTTTTGATGAGGTGTGTAAACTTTGCTATTACTCACTATTTTCTACGTGTGTCATTAAAGTTATGAGATATGCAAGATACACAGGAAAAGATTCATGCTTTACATAACATATACGTTACATACAATATTTTTACTGTATTAATAATAAAAGTCACTCTAGGGGAGATCGAAAATAGAGACAGAGTACGCGTAAAGAAACAAAGAAGGCATAAATAGTCGACGCGAACCATAACCGTAATGTGCTAATAAATGAAAGCCGTCCGTGTAAGCGAAAAACAAGAACAAGAGAGAGAACGTAAAAAAAGATTCTTATTTCTAAGATATATATTTACTTTTGTCTTGTCAAACTGGATGCGGCGACGATGATATACGGCGACCTTTCGCGCTATCTATCACCATTTACTTTTCGATGTTGATGTTCTCAGAAATCAAATACTTTGTTCTCATCCATCGCCTGGCTAATAAATACTCTGGGCTTAACGTATGCACAGCAAACTTATCGATAATAAATTAAGTTATTAACTTTCTCGGTAAAGAATCGATATAAACCATGAAAAATTTGACGAATTGCAAAATAAAAAATCTTTAATTCGCGGATCTATAATATATGATGTTACAATATAATTATAGCTATTAGATGATCAAAATTATGTGCAACGTTAAAGTTAACAAAGAATAACATTATAATGTTAATAAATTAATGTTTTATGTGTGCACTAAATGTTAATCTAGTATCTAATTCTATCAAACACAAAGTTATAATAACGTGATTATTTATATAGTTTTCAATTTTGAGTATATTTGGTTAGTGATGTGAATAGGCAATAGAAAGGTTGTCAAAATAATAGCATTGACGTTTCTATGCGTACAGACCAATCGTGCAAGCATTACTTTGTTTTCCTATGTTTCAGTTACCTAATTTCGCAACTTCCGTGTCGATATATCAAGAGCTTGAATTATGATATGTTTGGTAATGTTCAAAATATGTTTCGTTATGTACGAGAACATACTGTATGTATATCTCGTTACGTCATATCCGATTTTAACGATCTGTGATTCGATAAAATGCACGAGATACGAAAGAGTCATTTTGAATTGTCATACTCATAATCTCAGGACATGGCTCAACGTTACAACATTAATTTAACTCGCGAACCTATATCAGTTTATTCTAACATTTTTATTTTAAAAAATTAAATTGTTAAAAAATTAAACCTGCTTTTTCTTTTTATTTTTAAGTACTGCATGCACGTGTCTTTTTCACGCAAAGTAGCCCCAGTATCATAGCCAGGTATACGAGACACCAAAGTTTTTAATATCGCATTTCCTGCCTGCCTTCATGCCAAGGGGATTATTTGTTTCCACGTTGATTATTTTCAGTGAATTAGAACAGAGCAAAGCGAAGAGTACTAGGTATCCATTGTCGCGATTTACCAGAGTATTAATTTAAAGGAAGCAATTCATGTAAATTCGCGGAAATTTATTCATCTCGTTGTTCTAGGAACATTCTTATTGTGACGGTATATTAACGGCAACATAATATAAGTACAGTGACAGTAATTACTCTCGACGCACGTGTCCATAAAAGAAGAATAAAATCTGTGATAGAATACGAAATAAAGAGTCTGAAATTAACTTTATGAATTAATTAAAAAACAAAGAGCTATTCTTCGAAATATTGTCTTCAAAGAATTCTCGATTTGGGATAAACATTGTCGCGGACAATGGATATCTTTAAGTTTACTCGAGGGTAGGCAGGATTCGATAAAGATTTTGTACCTGCATCTAGAATGATGTCACCAACGCTGTCAAGATTACCGTAATCGTCGTATGTATCAGCCACGTCCAGATTACTGGTAAATGTGAATGGCCAGCGATCATTACCTAGTGTCCCTTTGTTAGCGGACTTGCATCCAAACCACCAGTACGCTGTTGATCTTGGGAAGGCGGGATTAGCATCGTCTACCTGGTAAACCGGAGAGATAATTGTTTTATATGATATTTTTATAAAATTTCATCTCTCTCTCTATACACACATACATTATATCCAGTCTCTAAAACTTTAAAGGTGATCCTACACGTTACACACTAATACTGATTAGTAATATTGAATCAGTAATAATGACAATATGCATCAATATTTTCAGTATTTTTACAATCTTGTACTATCAGTTTTATTGACCGTGTTTTATCACGTTTAGAATAAGTAGTGAATTATCACTCTGAAGAGTGAAATTTCACTTTTAAAGATTGAAAATTAAATTCTGTTTGCGAACAGTAACTCAATTTTCATTCTTTAGAGTGCGATTCCACTCCAAAAAAAAAATTAAAGAGTATATGTAACGATAGGTTCCGTAATTGGGATGTAATACGAGACAAAGAACGCGCGTGTTATTATATAACATTACAAGCTTCGCTGCGCTTGTGTTATTTTCCAATCATATGCAATGCTGCTGCGAACAAAAAATTAATTTTACATCTATCGTGCTTACCTTGAACAATCGGTCGTTGAATCGATAGTAGGCATTATCTTGGAAGAAATACGTGTAGCCCTTGTACGTTACTGCTGCGTTAATGTGATTCGGAATACCTTCCCAATTTTGGATGAGTTTAGGATAGCTGCTTCTCACTGGTGGCTTCGACGCTGGATCGAAGCGCCAGAATTTCGTACCTTTGTAGAAATAAATCTTGCCATTTCCAGTCCATACGGTAGCAGCGTCGATGTTATCAGGAATCCCAGTAAAACCATCGCTGATTTCCTTCGGATAGTCGCCGTCCATAGTTGTATTAATGTACCTCCAGTATTGCGTGCCCTAAAGCAAAATAATTGCAGTGTCGATTACAATGAATGAAATCTGCATATTGAACAACGTCGATATAAAGTCTGTTTTCTATAGCTGAACTATAAATAGCGTATACTTATAGAACGTGAAGTGGAACAGGTTTGTTTGATATTTAGCGAAAGCGAGAAAGAAAGTTCTAGTGTAATTTAATGCGGGAATAAAAAACAGACCTATAGAGTAAAAAGAACCAAATCATTTTTGGATCTCGCTCGTTTGGTCAGGTGAACTATTACCTTGAAGAAGTAAGTTTTGCCGTTCCTGTATGTAAATGCAGCGTCTATATTTGACGGAAGTTCTTTCCACGTGCTACTAATACGTCTAGGATAACCGCTAGCCACACCATCGTCTGTTAATTTCCAGTAATGTTTTCCTGAAAATTTCATAGTGTAATAGCTTCAGTATTCTTGCTTTGTCATCTTTGGCAGAATCCAAATACTAATGGAAAATTACAACTCTGAAGTGTACATACCCTTGAACGCAATTATCTCCCCGTCTTTCGTATTGAACATTGCATCGACTTTTGGATCTTTACACAATTCAGGATCTTCTTCGGCAGGCGGCGGAGGTCGCGATCCTCGTGGCGATTTAGTTTTCGTGCCATATAGAGCCTGAAATGGTTTAGTATTAGCTATTCGAGGCACACCACATCCAGGATCACGAATGTAACATGGTAATAGAAAGTTTTAATCTTTCAGTTACCTGAATTGCGCCGACATCATCTTGGTCCAGAGTAAAGTGTGGATCGTAGCCGCGGTAAAAAGGTGCCATCAGGGCACTCTTGACATCACTGTGACTTAAGCCAAGCGAGTGCCCGAATTCATGAGCCGCGACTTGAAAGAGATTGGTACCGCGATAGCTTTTGATGGTCCATCGTTCAGAGTCGTCGAAGTGAGCATCACCGCCGTATACGGGAAAGTATGCGTGTGCCAAAGTGCCGCCAGGACCATCGAAAGGATCACCGTCGCCGTGCTCGCCTACTTCGAATCTGATTTCGATGTGAACCTAAACGAATCACTTTTGTCTAGTATTTTATTACAACAGCGTTTTTAGCTCTTTAATTTTAGCAATCGACCTGCGTCAAATGCTCACATATAAGCGATACATATATCTCGATATTGATACGGCTCTTACATTTTCATGTCCTGTCTTGCGGGTAAATGTCAGATCAGTTTCACCCGTCCAAACAGAGAACGCGTTCGCTACTTCCTTTTCCACTTCCTGTTTGTTGAGACCAGTTGGATACTTGCTAATTTTGTACGTTAGGTTCTTCGTACGCCATCTGGACCCTACGATAAAGCATTTTATACGTGAGACACGTGGAGAAGCGCGAGAAAATATATTTTGCTTCGTTTAAAAATATTACAATGCATTCTCATTTATCCGTACGCGCATGCACGCACACGTTAAGACCGTTAATTCTTTTTCCGTGCCTATTAACGTATGCACATCCGTTACGCACTAAACCGATGCACCACAACACGAGTCTATCCGCTTGCGAAACACGCGTGATATTCCAATAAATTATTCCGATGTTGCGAATCTGTTACATACCTATAGCTGTTACGTCGTTATTGTATCGTTGTGCGTAAATTGTTTATTACCCGTATAAGAATAAAAATCACGGCTTGCGTGTTACGTGCTCATTACGGTTACAGAATTACGATTTATGCAACAGTTGCGCGTATATACCACAATTATATCGCGCATCTCATATGACTCTTACGCAACGAGATCTGTGTTCGTCACTACGCGAGATCTATGAGAGAATAAAATGGAAGAATGTAGCACACAGATATATTGGATTATCACTCGAGTTAAATGCGACTGACATTCCGTAGGATGCATGCATGGCCGAACTTAGCACCAAGAGTTCACTGAAACATGAAACGCACGTGCTTGGGTTCAAAGTCACGGTTAGTCCGCGTGAAGCTGCGCGATCGCTTTATTATTCCGTCGATAGTCATGCATAAGAATGTCTTTGTCGGGAGTCTTTTTTTATTTTCAATACGGCATGACCAAAACGATTGGAACATTCATACACGAGTCAACGAGTCAAGTTTCGAGCACTTTTTAAAAGCGAGGCTTTTATACCGTGCATAAATGTAAATATACAGAGAGAAAGGTTATACCAACATACTATTTCTATTTTCGGACAATATTTCTTAAACAAAAACCAAAAATAATACTTTAGAAATATAAATACAAAAACACACTAGAAAATATCTTCTGTAGGATAATGTAACAGTTTTATAATACTGTTTGTAATTTTGCAATATATATAATTAATGTTTTTGTAAAATAAATAAAAATGAGCGCCTGACAAAACAAGTCCAAAACTGACACAGTAGGCAATAATGCCACATATTCCTATCCTTTTTTTTACAGAAGTCAACTGTAAAAAATACCTACAAGTGAATAGACATTTATAAATTTTCTAGAATTTTTTTATTTTGATATAAAACGGTTTTTATTGATTTATAAGCATACTTAGCGAATTTATAGGAAAATTCTCGAAAAAAGAAACTGTTGCGTTACATGTTTGCGTCTTGCAAAACAGCGCAAACATGTAACGCAAGAGTTTTTTCGAGAATTTTCCCATAAATACGTGATTGCCTTCAACTCCGATAAGACTATTTGACACTATAACGCAACATTACAAAGATTAAGTTAGCTTATGATTTGTCTCGGACAGGTGTGCCATTTGCGTTGCATTCCGATTTTATACTTAAAATCATATTATAAAAAAAGAGTAAAAAGATAAAATGTAAATAAAACTGGAGATTAAACATATAAAATTACGTAATTTTATCGATAATATAACCACTATTGTTTAAGCTGCGTAATTAGCATAAAAATTTGTAAGAATTTTGTTTTTATATCTATTTGTAGAATCTATTTTTAAATTTTGTTTAGAAACACAAATACATAAAGTATGAATTTTTATTTCTTTTAATCGTCTAAACAGATCATGTTTTTGTCAGTATTAATAAAATGCAACAATTTCTGAGAAATAAGGGAGTGTCTCTTTAGAAAATCTATGTCAGTATTCTATCTATGTATCATCGATTATAAATATGTCTGACAATAAAAGAAACAATATACTAATCTCGCACATTATATGTTTAAATACTCAGAATTTTTTAAATTTGACAAAATATTCTTATCGAAAAAGAATCTCATCGATTCATTAACCAATCGTGGCTTTATTGTTAAATTGCAAAGTGTATGCGAAATGCAACAGTTGATTCGAGCGAATTCATGTAGCTGATTTAAAATGCATTTAGTACATCCGATAGACTGTTATCGTGATATAGATCCACGTGACCCGTTTAAGGTGACTGACTCTATATCAATCTAACTATACCACGTAGTGGCAACAAGACAACGGGAAGTCGAAATGTCGTGATTCATCGTAAAAGTCATCGTAAAAGACTGCAATGTACTAAATAATCTATATTTATGTATGTATTGCTATGAACGCGTTCCACTTGATGCTCGCCACGTTCATGGAATCATTTCATCCTTGTTGTTTATCAAACATTAAACAATTGTAATGCTTGCAAGCGTTGTGAGCGCCAAATGGAACACATTTTGTATATATTTCTTTAATACTTTATAGTGACTATTATTAATACGTTTTTGGGTGGGTTACTGATGTAAACAACTTTCTGTTTTACGACATTATATTTTACGTATAGACTTTTCTTGAGTGTTTCGAGATAGAAAATGCCCGCGTCGCGATTAGATAATCGATCCCGAAAGACCAAAAAAGAACTTGTGTCACGTCTTGCGGTTACGTTTACACTCTCGATTGCATTTAAACTTTCTTCAATTTGTCAATTTATCGATTAGTCGCGCAAAGTGATGAAATCTGTTGAATTTCCAATTAAGTATTAGATGTCGACTATTTTACTCACCTTGAAGAGCGTATCTCTTCGATCTTCCATCGGCAGCTGGTCCAACTTTGTCTTTAACACCGCATCTTGGTGTAGCCATAAGCTTAACAGTCTCTTCATTTAATTCACCTATAACAGAAAATCGAGATAAATTTATGAATTATTATTTATATTGTTGTAAAATTATTTACTCTCTCTGGTAAAATCGAGAGTATACGGAAACGGTCTACAAAAATCGATATCTCGCATTTTATTGCCTCTTATCATTCCTTTAAGTATAATCGCGTGATAAAAATAATTGTTCGGATATATTAGTCGCGTATATTGATTGTTAAAGTAGAGCCTAACAGTGTCGGGTGCGGTACAGATGTACCCTCTTTACGTGCACGCATATACGCGTGTATATTTCTCGTAGCCTGTGCATGTATTAATTTCTCATGCATGCATAATATGTGTAGTATGCGGGAATACTCGTGCATGCGCTACCACTACTTTTCAGCCCTGTCACGCGATTCGACATTTACAGATTCATCGTTACCGGCGCGCAAAGGTTGCCGGAGCACGCCGGCAACGATGCATTAAAAATTATATTATATTTTTCTAATCTTGCGAGAATTCCGTGGTATGTTCTGTATCACGAAGAAATTTTTATTTTTGTCATTTTTCGTCCAGCAGTTTCTATATATTCTGTACAAATGCACTGTTTTATATTTCATCAAATTTCCTGTCTTTTCTCTATTATGGAAACGATCTTGTTGCGATAAACATAACCGAACGACTTATATTGGTAGACAAGAAAAAAATAACAAAAATTTCAGTGAAAGTCACGTGATTTCTGTATACATTGTGTTTCTTTTCAAGAGTTACGTTCATCAGTAGTTGCAAATGCGTTAACGACGCAGATTGTGGCTGATAAACACGCTTCATCTCGAATAATGCCGCCACCGATGGCCTACAATTTTACAGTTAGATCACTCTTCCGTTCACCTTCGGTTTTTATTGGATTCTATTGCTTTACATGGATTCTACTCTGTTTCGCCCAGTTCATGGACTCTCGTTTATAGTACCACACACTAAATTGACTGACGAAGCTTGTTTGATCTTTTCTACTCAAGAACTTCTATTATTTGTTTGAGTAACTTTTATATGGCTTGTATATTTATTTATTTGCATCAACTTGACGTCATCAGAAAATTTTATTTGGTCCGTATAATTATTAATTATAAGACAATTCGTAATTATAAGACAATTTGTTGCAATTTTAAAACTTGTTACGTATTTTTCGTTGTTTTGCTTGATATTTTTCATAATAAGTATTATTCAAAATTATCACTCACAAAACAGGGCTATTATACTAATATGACACTACGATAATGATTCATTGATTGAAGCGTCAGGTTGAGTTCGGTGGCGTTTCACCGAATCCTGAATCATCGCTGTTCATTATCGTTAATGGTTTAAATCGACAGGGGAGACATCAACAGGGGACCTCTGGTATCGTTTCTCAAGCGGTTTGACATTTTACATGTCTCTTTATGTACGTAAATATGTGGAGAGACACATAAAATTTTACATTTTACTCTTTTTTCTTTTTTTAAATTATATACATATACGCACCAAGTAAATGTATTCTTTGTAATTTTTCATATGAATCATTAATATTTGTTAGAACTTGATAATATTAGATAAAAAAGCTCAAGTATATCTCTTATAGGTATACGTACCTAAACCAGAATGGATTAAAATAAATTGTATTTTAATCCATTTGATCCATTTGATCCTAATACGTATTTTAGCATTCATGGTTCGTTTTCACATTTTTTTAATTGGATTAAAAAATTGCATGTCTTATTTGGAATTGAGCAATATTCATGGTGCGTTTAAAAAATTGAATTTTTTTGAAATTGAAAAACAAAAATTATGCTTCATGCAATTTCTATTAAAAAGTAAAATTGAAATTGAAAAGGACATTTCAACGTTTGTGAATGCATACTTTTGAAAATCTGAATTCATTTCAATCCATTCTCGTTTATTGTACAGGTATTTATAAGTGTATATAATATGTATGTGTCCAGTATATGATATAATATAAAATGCATATATATGTATAGTATAACAAGCAATGTGTTCAAAAATAAGTTTGGAAAAGTAAATAAAATTTAACATACCTGTTATATTAAGACCAGCAAATGCTTGGAATTCCTCTATCGCTATCGTCAGCTTATCTTCGCTTAAAAAAGCACCATTTTCTGGATTTATCGGTGGTAAGTATCCGTATTGTGCTAGATAATTCTGTAATTTTTAAACACATATTCTTTAACGTATCTCTCTTAAATATGTTAATGCAAAATGTACGTACATCTTATACGTATAGATATCATCCAACTTTCAATATTATTTTGACAAACAAATATCGTTATTTTCTTGTTGATTCAAAATAAAGATAGTTATTATTATATGTCGCGAAACAAAATTGCAGATAGAAAGTTTTCGTATCATTTTGCAAAGAACCCAGCTTGTAAGTTTGGTATCACAATGTGGCATCAACATTGTTTTATGATCTTTGTTCTACGAAAATGTATAACACTAAAGATAGAAGACCTTTTCTTATCTGCGTATAAATTTACCGACGCCCTCGGGTGATTGTCTATCGGTCCTGTTTCGATCGTTTACGTCGTATAATTATAATTATGCGCAGGTGGAAAATGTCTCTGCGCCGTCATACAATTGTGGCTAAACTTCGATTTTTACTAATACACTTATCGCTTATCGTTTAACAACGTGAGAACGTTAATTGTACGTGACATATTTCTAATTTGTCATCTAAAAGATACTGATCCGATGTTACACAAGACGTGCTCTTCCCGCACAAGAACAAGCGCGTGTCGCAAGAATGATACGACCCGCAGATCATCATTAGAGCCAATTCGGATGACGTTACGTTCGAAGTGCAGATTACCTCTTTAAGAATGACTCATCCCTTATATCGAGCACGGAAAGCGCTTCTCTCGCGCGTTCTAGATTCACGTAAAATGGCGATCTTGACAAGCAATCGTTTCTAATGTAGTAGGATAATACCGTTGCGTGGAGGGTTGGCCAATCAATTTGCCTTCGCGTGCATTCTTTCGGAGCTACCTCCGTATTGATTTTGTTCCTATCCTCGGGTCACCGCACGAAAGCGCGCGTATTCTTAATTTCTACGTACGTTTATACCACAGTTTATACCACAGAAATTCGAGATGTTCGTAAAGAGAATATAAAGATATACTCGTTAATTCAAATAACGTCAAATTTTAATAATATAAGACAGGATTGTTAAAACAAGAATAATAAATAATTAGATAAATAATATAGATTAGATAATAAGTATAGATTAGATAATAAGATTAGGTATAAATAATATAGATTAGATAAATAATAAGAATAATAATAAAAAGTCACCAGGAAATACCACAAGTACAAACGTCAATTTATGTAATTTCGGACAATATTTTCGTTTTTGTCAATTATTGAACAATAATTAAAATTAAAAAAACTCTAAGAATTGAGAGAAATTGGGATTATCCAAAGATGGAATTGGCATTATCAATTCCTTTGTTGATTAATTATTGAAGATGATACAAAGGGAGCGAAACGTCTAACTAATTTGTTATTTAATAAAGTATTTGAATTAATAGACTAATACTAGGTGTTGGTTCTGATTGGATTTGTTCTTCTGAGATTGTTGAAACTTGAAAACTGTGGTATTTATATAAAGAAGCATTTGTACGATATCAAGAGCACTCGAGCAAAGAATCTGACAATCGTCGCAAATTACTATTGCGCAAAGGAGTCCGACGTAAGTCACGCGAGAATTACCAAAGTATCTCATGTTTCTAGATTTAGGTGGATTAGACAAGCAGCAATGACCGAGGAGACTGACCTAACCGACTACAGAATTTACTGTTATTTAACAACACTTACGCACGCTTATATCCTGATTAATATTCTATCAGTTAAATCGCACGATCCACGTCAGGATATCACGTATTGTTGAACCATGCGAAGGAAGACATTTACATGTTTATCTTTTTATACTCTGTGTTATTCGCGTCATGTATTATTGAGAAAATAAACTTTTATTTTATTTTAGAATTACGCGCAGAGAATCTTTGAAAAATGACAGTGAATTGAAAATTATTTAAAAATGACACGATTGGACTTTGTTATTTTACAAACTAGTTCGGCATCGAAAGGTGATCTGTAATGTAATTGCGAAGTTGTAACATGAGTCATGTCTTTGCAGAGAGGAAAACGCATAAAGGGTATATTCATTCGGATGTTTTCGTAGTAGTAATTTGATGCATCCCTTGACAGCGGTGCAAAGTTTCCGAGCATAGCCTTGGAATGCTGATTCATGCTTTATGACAAAAATTTAACTTTTGTAAACATATGTACTTTGAACTTAATAGCCATAATAATTGTTTTCATCGTGTTATAAATGTAATAATCGTTATATCACAGACTCGGTATAATTTTTCAATTTTTTACGTTCATAAAAGTCCGTTAAATTTTGCAGCGGAACAAAATAACATGTATGAAAAAGAAAGAGAGAAAATGAATAAATTGTTCTTTTGCGTTCTGGAGTAATATCTCCCTCAAGCGCAATTATCTTTTAAATTCACAATGCCACGAACATAAAAAAAACTATTATTGTAAAAAATATTGTTCTATATATGTAAAATAGAGAAAAAATACAGAGAATATAATAAAGAATAGAAAGAGAGAGAGGGAATATATAATAAAATCATATATTAATAAAATAAACCAAAATTATTTAAGAGGATGCTTGAGTGACCAAATTATTGACACATTATATAGTGATATAAAAATCTTCGAATTGACTGAATGGAATTAAAAATCCTTTTATAGAAATAAAGTAGACGCAAAATTAAGAGGTGCTGCAGTGAACTTTATACTAAACTCGAAAAAAGTTAGAAATTTATTTTTATTTTAGTACGACTATAATGTGTCATTAATTTGATCACTCTAGCGTCTCCTAAAGAAAGAATATAAACGAATAAAATTTGACTGATGTTTCAATCACCAAGAGGATTGATCGAGGAAAAGATTAAGAGAAAGAGAGAGAAAGAGAGAATGCAACTTATGGAATTTCCAGAACTATATCTCGTTTAATAAGAAATTACTTTTCTAAGCCTGAATGGTTTTTCACCAGGATAAATATTAGCATTTAATTTTGTATGATTACGCTTCCTTCCGGTCGAATGTGAATGAGATGAATCAGTGCCTCACTATAGTCACAAATTTCGTAATTCCAGACAAGTCAACTTCCTCGAAGGTTGAAATTTTTATGAATGAACGTAAGTGGAGTGTGCCCGTACCCACGTGCGTGTGTCATGCGTGAAAGGTTCCCTCCTCCTCTCTCTATATATTAATGTACATTGTTTGTGTGTATTCTCTTTGCATATATGCATATATATATATACATGTAGAATCAATGTGTGCGCGCTCTCCTACGGCGCGACTGAATCAGCCAAGTGGTTTTCCGCGTATCCGATCATGACTTGACTCAGCACTCGCCGGTGCGCGGTGCGGTAGAAGTGTCGCTGGAATTCAAGGTCTTCTTAGTGGATGCTGATCATCGATCGGCGAACATTGGCAATGAGGATTGCCTTCAATTAATTGCGAGTAGATGAAGTACACCGAGATGATTGTCACTAATGTGCGCGCACCGTGTATGTATCGTGTATGCACGGTGAGTGTACGCATGTATGCGAGTCTCTCGCAAAATACACGGAACTATATAAAGCCGATATACAAAATATCAAGATAAGTAAGTATGTATATGGATACATCTTTATGCGTCTTTATATTAACGAATATTCTAATTGTTTATTGAATTTTGAATAAATTATAGCAACTTGATAACTAAGCATAAGGAAAACACAATTATAGGTTTCGAGCACGGAAGGCACATACACGCTATGATTGTCCGGATGTTCCTTGTGTAACCGGAAATGTACGTGCGGAAAGATGCACAATACATTGCGGTTGAAACCTTGGTTACAATTATATTTTATGACCGCGCATCAGAATAATCCGCTGACAAGTCCAAGAGTCCAAAGTAGATGATCTCTTCACGACATGTATCATTACAAAGAATGAACCGCCTACATGCAAAATTATTATTTGTCAAGTTTTTAATTTTATTTTGAATTTTTTTTCTCTTTTTAAAGAAGAAACGAATTACCGGAATTTTCTTCGAAACGGAACAAAAGTGTCATATCTTTAAGGATAATCATTTCGTGTGCAAACGATTGGCAGGCATTCATTATTTTCTTTCATTCTTTTCTAGTTATATCATACCTATAATCCTCTCAAAAACTGATTAAATATCTGTCATTTAATTACGTCACTGAATGCTGTAAGAGTATTTTATCTACAATATCCTTGTCTATATGAATTATTTACATGACAAATTAGGCATAATAGAGAAACTTTTTATCGTTATATGCATTTTTCGTAGAGAAATCTCATGTTCACAAAACTTGTAATTCTTGTGTGTCGTTACCGTCGTAATTATACAGCGGAACTCGTTAGACACGAAATGTTTTATATCCGGGTTACCTTGAATCCGTTGTTCAAGGAATGACGTAGATATCCACGATAATATTCTTTTGAAAGCATAGAGTCTACGCCAAGGAGAGTAGCACGCTATTGATCTTGTAGATTTGGATACTGTTCTTACAAAAATCCGATTTAACATTGGCAAATTTAATATATTGGAAATTAAGAATTAAAACCACTGAACAACTTTTTACTAAGTAATTAAAAATTATTTTTCAGTATATTAAATTTCTATAAGGATGTCGATATTACGCTTATCATCGAAAACAATTGTACTATAATGATGTAACTTGAAGAAGAAATTTTCTACGTCTCTTTTTCCGTATGTATGTATACTAATTCTTTTGGAGTGACAACTTGTCATATACGTCATTTGTACATAAAGCACAATATTCGTTTCCATGACCTGAATTTTTCGTCGTTAAGATTTCGTGTTACTTGCAGACGTATTATGACCAGTCTTCTTCAGCACGTCTTCTTCAGCAGAGATTGCAATGATGTTTAATCTAAGTGATATCTAATCTGAGATATAACAAGAATACTCTGATCAAAGTTAATAAGTTCATAATCTTAATAATCTATTTTATTTTTCGACTATTATTTTTTATTTAAAATAAACTTTACTTGATGCTTACGAAAATAGGTAAAGCTATAGCATCTAGGTC